GATGTTGTTTAATGTGCAGATTGTGTCCACCCTCTCTCCCCGCTACCCTGCCCTCCATCTCCGTTAACTTTTAGAGCCCAGGTCAAGGCATCTCCAGATCCCCCCAGAAGGGAGGGATGTCTGGAGTGGAATGGGATAAATGGGCCGGTCTGTACATCCCTATCACAGGTGGGGAGTTCTGCCAACCTCTCCATCCTTTAATTCTCATCCCCTGTTGTCTTTCCTCATGGACCCGTACCCACAGAGGCATCTCTGTGCTGCAAAGGATGCTGGGAGGTTGTCGAGGTCAGCAACTAGAGGATCTCTCCTTGGGTCAAGGTAGAGGTTGCTCAGCAGCCACCAGTGAGCCTGGCCTGGCCTACTGACGTGTGTGTGTGCGTGCGTGTGTATGTGTGCGCGTGTGTGTGTGCGTGTGTGTGCGTGTGTGCATGTGTGTGTGAGTGTGTGTGCGTGTGAGTGTGTGTGCGCGTGCGTGCATGTGTGTGAGTGTGTGCGTGTGAGTGTGTGTGCGCGTGCGTGTGTGTGTGCGTGTGTGTGCGTGCGTGCGCGTGCGTGCGTGCGTGTGTGCGTGTGTGTGTGTGTGTGTGTGTGTGTGTGTTCCCACAAGGCTTTTAAAAGTGGAATTAGTTGCTAGTAAGCATACAATTGAGATATTTAACCCAAAACTAAGGTTTCTGTCTTGGAGCTGGTAAGACAGTTCAGTGGGTAAAGCTGTCTGCTGTAAAGCCTGACTAAAGGTGGAAGGCGAGACCTGACCCCTGTAGATTGCCCCCTGACCTTGACACGTGCCCCGCCGCGTGTATGTATGTGCCTGTGTCTTTCCCCCAAAGTAAACAAAGTGCAGTAAGAGTGGAAATGATTTCCGTCCTCTTAGGAAAGGGCCCCTGAGAGCCTGCCAGTCTGGAGCCTGAGGTCTGCACTGTCAACACGTGCCTGAAGCTAGACTGTGACCCCGGAGTCCACAGGTGTCCTTTGTACACCTTCCTGGCCCTTTGGTAGGAGACCTCTGGGTTGATGTGATTATCACACACCCTTCCTTCACCCATTGCCAGTGCGTGGCTAGTGATGGATGCCAAGATGCATCAGGGCAGGAACCAGAGAGGGGCCCAGCCGGCTGCTCTACTGGGAGGCTGAGGCAGGAGATCAAAGGAAGCTTAGAAGAACCTGTGTGCAAATAAAATGTCATGTATGTATGTATGTATGCATGCATGTATGCGTGCGTGCGTGCATGCGTGCGTGTGTGTGTGTGTGTGTGTGTGTGTGTGTGTGTGTGTGTATGCATATGCTGCAAATATAACTCAATGGTAGAGCACTTGCCTGTAGTTGGTTTTCTGTTTATTTGTTTTGTTGTTCTCTTTTGGGTTTTTGTTGTTGTTTACTCTTTATTCTTTGGTCTTTTGGGGGTCCAGCTCCCAAATAAATCACACATGGAGACCTATTCTTACTTATAAATGCCCAGCTTTAGCTTGGCTTGTTTCTTGCCAGCTTTTCTTAAATTATCCTGACTACCTTTTGCCCCTGGGCTTTTTCCTTTTCTTACTTCTGTATATCTTACTTTCACTCTTACTCTACTGCTGGCTGTGTGACTGGGTAGCTGGCCCCTACCTAGTGTCCTTCCTACTATCTCCTGTTCCTTTCAGATTTCTCCTTCTCTTTGTTCTGTCTGCCCGCCAGCCCCGCCTATCCTTGCTTCTGCCTCGCTATTGGCCGTTCAGCTCTTTGTTGGGACCACCAGATGCTTTAGACAGGCAAAGGATCACAGCTTCACAGAGTTACAGCATAAACAAAAGCAACACATCTTTACATCATTAAACAAACGTTCCAGAGCGTAAACAAATGTATCACACCTTAAACTAATATTCTGCAACACTTGCCGAGATGTGCAGACCCTAGATTTGATCCCTGGTGCCATAAATAAATGCACATTTAGACAAATAGACAAATAAGGGTCTCTGTGTGGTAGTTCAGCTTCATGCTATCAGAACACTCATTTCTCACCCATAGTCTGAAATCTAGCCTTGAATTCCAGAAACCACTTTCTCCATGTGGCTTTACTTCATACTCTGAGATTAGAGTTACAGCCCTTCAGAATGATAACGAGAAAGAGGCGGGCTATGCTGTCATGTTTCTAGTTGAAGTACAAGCTTACTGCACCCAAATCTAGTGTGCACTTGCTAGAAGGGCTGACCCTGCTGCATACTGGGCTGGTACTCAGACATTGATGGAGGAGGTGGTCATACTAGGTTGGTACCCAGACATCGATGGAGGAGGCGGTCATACTAGGTTGGTACCCAGACATCGATGGAGGAGGCGGTCATACTAGGTTGGTACCCAGACATCGATGGAGGAAGCAGTCATGCTGGGTTGGTACCCAGGCGTTGATGGAGGAGGCGGTTGTGCCGGGTGTGGTCCACGAGGTTGCTCTTGTTCACCACCTCATCCTCTTGTCTGCCAGCCCTCTTAGTTATCCATGTTTACCGGGAGGTGCTGGAACTGATGGCAGTCTTAAGTATCAAAGCTGATGGAAACCTGGGAAATGAGAACATGTAATCAGGTCAAAGACTCCATTTCACTGGCTCAGCATGTGCTTCGAGGAAGGGGAGGTGGAGTGCTGACCTAGCAAGTTTTGAAAAACCTTAGTTCCAGACTGATCCTACGGCTGCCCCTGACACATACTTCAGGGTGCCCCCAAGACTTTATGCTCAAGTGACTTCTACCAGTGACACTCTAAGGCCTAGAAAACTATTTCTCTGGTTAGGTTCCCAAGAGCAGATGAAGGCTCAGTTCCTGCTTTCCTCTCAGAAAGTAGGGAGGAGGCCTTGGCCAACTTTGGTTTGAAAAAGGGTTGGTTATTGTGTGAGGGCTAAGTTACAAGGCTTCTGTGGCTTAGAGAGTCGCTAGAGGTTCTGTGTTACAGGTGTGCTCTCTAGCTCATGGACGCGCTGGGAGGCTGTGGAATCTGTGGTGGGGCCTAATGGGAGGGGACACTGGGACCTATCTCCTTTGCTTCCTGGTTACCATGAGTCAGGCTGCTTTGTTATACCAGATGATCCCACCACTATGGCCGCCTTACCACAGACCCTAGGGTGCTGGGAACTATCAGTCATGGACACTTCTAAAACCATGATCAAGAGAAGGCCCTCCCGTTTCAAAGTTGATTCTTTCTGATGTTTTATAAGCCCAACACCAGAGTTGGTTAACCAGAGGCACAGCAGGGAAGCAAGGTGAACGTTTGCAGGTGGCTCTCTTTCTAGACGGCAATGATGATGTGTTTTCTGAATTGGGAGAAGCAAGTCTGGCTAGTTTCTCATGCCCAGGAAGTAACTGACGTTATGTCCCTATGGTTCGAAGAAGGTTTACCCGTGACGTCCCCCTCATGGTGTTTTGGGAGCTTAATATCTGGAGTTGGGAGGGGTCCTCTGTGGGTTGTGGTCAATGAATATCATCTAACATCTTGTTTTTTGTTCCCAGACTGAATGTTCTTCCTCTAACGATTCAAAAGGCACCAAATCCATCTCTTTACTCGTGTTGTGAATTCTCCCCACAGACTTTCCTCCAGAGGCCGTGGGGCAATGTTCAGTGGGAGGATGAGTGTTGAATGTTACAGTCACCTGTGTTGTTCTGTCCAGAGGTTTCCCTGGTATCAAAGTCACATGCTAACCCCGTGTATGTGTCCTCATGAAAATGTCTTCCCCTTCCTCTATGAGATTCCAAGCCCATTTTCTTAATGTTATTAAAATTGAGGACCCCCCACACCTGGTTGCTTTTTATTTTTAGTCTTTTCTGAGAGTGCCTCATGTTACATCCTAATTAACTGAAAATTCCTTTGGCTGTTGCGATCGCCATGTGGATATCTAGCTTGTGCTGTTACAATCTTGCCCTCCAGTTCCAGTTATGCAGCGAACTGAGAGGTTTTGTTAGGTAAAATATTAGGTATTAGCCTGACAACTTTGAAAATGAAGAAAGTTCCAAGACCTCATTGTTGAAGAGGTACTTTTAAAAATTATTTTATGTGTGTAACCGTTTTGTTTGCATTTATGCAAGTGCACCCTGATCATACCGTGCCTGTGGAGACCGGAAGTGGGTGTTGGGTCCTTTGAAGCTGGGGTTACAGATGATCGTGTGCCATCTGGGTGCTGGGAACCTACATTTATCCTCTGCAAAGGCAGCCAGTGCTCAGAAGCACTGAGTCATCACTCAGTCTTCACAATGGTCCTTCTTAATGACTTATTAATTTTCGCTTCTGGGAAAATATGGAACTATAACGATATTCGAAGCTATATAGGGAAAACAATGTATTTATTTACCAGAGAGAAAGAGAGAGAGTCGCACAGACCAGGAGTTAGAAGCTTGGATGGCTTCCAGGAGAAAAAGGGAAGCCCCTTTTCCTTTCACTTCCTTTTATCTCTACCTTGACCCCGCCCTGTTGGGCGGATAGCTTTGTGGGGTTCACTCCTACATGGAACAATTTAAAAATAAAGTGCATATGGATAAAATCAGAGTCTTACATCCCCCTTAACCTTGTTTTGTTTTCTTTGTGGAAACGAACACTTTTGTCTCCTCATTTTGAATATGGTGGATATTCTTCCTAACCCTGGCCGTAATGCCTTCTTTGAGGTGTTCCAAAGCTTAAAGCATGTTAAGTTTGTTCAACTTAACACGAGAGACACCAGGTACAGAATATGTGAGATTACTCATTTGTTTTGCTTGCCCTGGCATGTCTGCACAATCAAGACAAGGAAGGCCAAGGGTTTATTTTGATTTTCTTCCTGTTTAATTTACCACCCACAGTCATCCAAAATACAGAACCCCGTGTGGGATTGGCATGTTTGTTTCTCTGTCATGCTGTGATGACGTACAAACATGACTGCACTCACATCTTTAGGATCATACAGGTCAAATGTCATTTACGTTCTTGCTAGCAATATCAGGGAACATTCAGACAATTATTCTCCCAGCCTGCCGTTGCTGTGAAGTTGATAGTTGCACTATTTGTATAGTTGACCACCCACTGAAGCCGAGACACGTGAAACTGCTGTCCACTAAAATGGGCCTGAAGGTCACATGGGACCCACCCAAAGATGCTACCAGTAGACCTGTGGAGCATTACAACATTGCCTATGGGAAGTCACTGAAAAGTCTTAAGTACATCAAGGTGAATGCAGAGACAAACTCCTTCCTTATTGAGGACGTGGGTAAGTGACACGGCGCTCTTCACGGCTGACTGTGCGTCGACATTCGCAGCTTTGTTCTTAGGATTAACTGTCTCCAAGACAGAGTGCGGCTGGCCCAAGTTAACCCAGACTCTTTGGAAACAGGAAGCCAAGTTCTGAGACTCATCGTAAGGTTACTCTCCGAGGCTTCGCCATAAGGCTTCCTGCTTTCACCGCTGGCTTCTCGCCCACACACTTAACTCAAGTGTTCCTAACCTCAAAACGAAATAGAAAGTTTCAGTTTTCATAAGTGCTTTGCGAAACACACTGCTCCTTTATCTATCTATCTATCTATCTATCTACCTATCTATCTATTTTGTCTTGTGGAAACCTCACTATTGATGGTTTAATAGCCTAATGTGAACATTTTCCATCCATCAGCCATTAATAATTAGGCAACGCTGACCCTTGAACAACTTTGGTTTGAACTGTGTGGGTCTGCTCATATGTGGATTGGTGGGGGGGATTTGTGACAATTGGGGAACTGCAAACCCTCCTTATATCATGAAAAGGTTGACTGTGTCAAAATGTATAAAATAGGTAAACGACTCTGCATTATCATCTGCTACTATAATGTAATATACACATCTGTTTAAACACTGAGAGCCACATGTAGCACCTGTTTCAGCCTTAACCATCAACATGACACAGCCTAGAATCTCTAAGAGGAGAAGCCATGACACAGTCTAGAGGAGAGCCTTGACTGAGAAGTTGCCACGGTCATCTTGGCCTGTAGGCATGCCTATGGGAGATTGTCTTGGGCATTAATTGTTAAGGGCCCAGCCCACTGTGGGCAGCAACAATCCCTAGGCAGGTGATCTTGAGCCATGTAAAAAAGCTCAGCCCTGCAGAGTGAACCACAGAGTGAACCAGCAAGCAGCATTTCTGCTTTGAGTGTCTGCTTGAGTTCCTGTCCTGACTTCCCTCAATGATGGAGTGTGACCAGGAAGTGTAAAAACGAGTAAACCCTTTCAACCTCTAGGTTGCTTTGGGTCAAAGTGTATCATTACAGCAACAGCAAAGATGCTAGGACGGTACCCCTTGTCTTGTCTTTGAGAGATGTATAAACAAAGCTGCAGTATTAAATCATGACTGCAGAAAATGAACGCTAATGATGTCACCTACCCTTGCCTCTGAGCAGCCCATCTCCCCAGTAAATCATGCATCTCAGTAAAAAAAAATTATAACTTGTCACTCTGATTTGCCATTCGTTCAATATGATACATATGATATGGGCATAGGTATCACCTGATTCCTGTTGTCCAGGAGGCTCCCGGGCAGCAGCAAGCTCTTAGTAGCTATGATTTTGGGAGGGACAGAGTTATTATTTGCAAGTGTTCACCTGCACGGTGTTGGGAACCCCAGCTCCCGAGCTGTCCAACATCTTCGGAATCATGTCCCAATGAAGGCATGTAAAAGATCAGGCATGTGGACAGTATAACCTTTGACGAAACTGAAACTTTATTTTCAGTTGATTCTGTCAATTGGGAACATTTTAATTGCCTCAGTGTGCTTGTTTTACAGGTCTAGGGGCTCTGGACTCTGGCTTTGGGATGCTGCCTCTGAACCCTCCTTTCTTCTGCTAAGATTCATACCATCGTGCTAGGTTACAACTTTGAGAGCGGGCACGAGGATGCCCCCGAGCTAGTTGGAGAACACTGGCATCCCTCGTGCCATGTTAGATGATGGCATGAACTCTATATCACCCCTGGCTAAGTCTCTGGACTTACTCCTTCTCCACCTTCTGCTGGGGACCACTGTAGTCTTAGGGGGAACTGGACAGAAAGTGTATAAACAGACATCGAGGTGTCCAGCTTCCCTCCTGCCTGCCTCCAGCTAAACACACAGTCCTCTGAAACACTGTGCCCCCCCCAGTCCAGCTGTGCGGTTGAGTGTAGATCCTAACAGGCCAAAGGCACGAGCAGGGCCATATTTGCCTAAATGCTGGGTTGTTGTGATTGCTGTGGAGAAGAAAAATACCCAACAGAGAGTTGTACCACCCACTAAACAGTGTCTCCAAAGTAAATCGCGAGTTGACTGGACGGGAGTCAGAGACATGTGGCCTCCATTGCTGGGGAATTCAGATGAGTCCGGAGTGCAGAGAGCCTGGCAAAGCACAACTCTGTGTTCCTTTGGGGCCTGGAACACTTTCCCATTGGCTTGGCAGGTTGTGCCAGACCCTAAAAGCCATCAGCTCCTGCCATAGAGAAACAAAAGGCAGGCCTGAGCACAGCAGGTGTCCCAGATGACCTGGAGCTTCTGGCTGAAGGACTGAATGAGGTTTTGTTTAGAAGAATGCCCCTGACTTTGAGAGATGCCAGGACCACTCTTGTTTTCAACAGGGCAAACGGCCCTCTCCCCAGCCCTCATCTCTGCCCATGCTCACAGACTGTAGCCTCTCTAAGGAACTGCTCCCCTGTCAAGAGACAACCATTCATTTTGAGGAAAACTGGTGTTGTTCAGTTCTGGCTTTGAGCACTCTAAGTCCGGGGTGTGTCCTCTTTGTGTTCTGGCCCTGTCAGTTTCCTTTGAATCCCGGAAGCTTCAGGGCTTCAGCTAAGGAGACCTCTGCTACTTGCCTTGACCCTGAGAGCAAAGTAAAAAGGCAGAGCCTAATTATTTCAAGATTATCATTTTCAGAATTCCAGGAAATACTTTTCTAGCTCTTTTTTTTTTTTTAGTAGTCAAAAACCACATGCAGACATAGCCTGGGGAACATTTTACTGTGAAAAAGAAAAATTCCATGAAGCTTTATGTAGAGCAATAAAGATTTTATGAGTTTCATTGATATTTATTTATTATTATTTTTTCTGGATCTTTCCACATTTGGAGCTTCCATGTGCAGTGCTAGTAATTTGTGACACTGTGTTCAGATTCCACGTGATCAGTGAGTCCTAATTCCTCCCCCTGAGTTCACATCAGAAACCTCACGCTTTCTGTGACCAATGGCGTAGGAACCCAGGTTGGTCCCACTTGCCTGCACTTTGCATTAATGATGTTCCTAGGGCCAGCCATGTCTCTGCTGCGGGGGGAGAATGCTGGCGATTTTTAGTAAAACCAAAGAGCTCGCTACTGTATTTGGGCTTTTGTATTCGGTTATGAGCGGTGTAAGTGAGATGGTTAATGAATGAAGTGTGTGTTTCGGGAGGTTTGATGTGAACCGTGTGTTTCAGAGCCGGGGGTGGTGTACTTTGTGCTGGTAACCGCAGAGAACCACAGTGGAGTCAGCCGCCCCGTTTACAGAGCCGAGAGCCCACCCGGTAAGTCTGACCTGGAACGGGAGGCTGTGATTCGCTGATCAGACTGGGGAGCCCTCCCTCCTTGTTTCTCCACACCAATAAGAACAGAATGGTTGGACTGGTGAGATGGTTCTGTGAGTGAAGGTGGCATATGCCACCAAGACTGATGACCTGAGTTCCATCCCCCAGAGCCCTCACAGTGGGAGGAGAGAACTGACCTCTGTAAATAGTGCCCTGACCACACCCCAGTCAATAAACAGAAATAAAAATTAAAATTAGGATGACTAAGTGATTCCTGAACAATCCATACCGTGTAAGCTCGTATGGCAAGATGAAACACAGAAAATTGGGAGAGGGGTCTTTTGTGTGTGCGTTTTTGCTTTCCCCCCCCCATTTTGGGAATACTTTTGGTACAGTGTACAAACGTTTTGTCCGATGTTTCTCACCGTGGCTCAACGAGCCATGTGCTGACCCTACAGCTAATTGTGTTGCCCCTAAAGCTTAGGTGTGGAGTTGTTGGCAGCCTGAGTACACCCTCCCGAAAGTCCACGTATTTGACTAGTCGCCGAGGATGCTCTGAACGTCCGAGAAGCCCTCAGACCTTGTTTCTAACTTTCCAGTTGCATTTCCCCAATTTAGGAGGTGAATGGATCAAGACTGATGGTTTTCCCATTAAGGGTCCGGGACCATTTAATGAGACCGCCACAGGTACTTTGTGCTCACACGCTCATGTCTTCACTGAAGCCACATCTCCCCAGAGGGCTGTGCTTCCGTCACACACATGTGCTCACAAGCCTTCATCTCGTCCCCATCGCTAAACTAATGCACATGCTGGTGGCCCAGACTGCAGCCTGTGTTGTTTGTGGCTTCCTGTGCCTTCCTGTCCCCATGTGGGCGGCGTCTGCATTTACATCTGGAGATTGTCACCTGCTAAGAAGCAAATGTGGTGGCCGAGATGGTAGAACTGGTCCAGCTGGAAATTTTGTAGCCTTTTGTCTGTGAGCAGCGTGATTGACTGAGACCCTTAAAAACAATGGCTCTCATTGGCCACCCGGTGTCCTCCAGTCTTGCACTTTTCTTGGAATACTCCGGAATATTCTGTGATATGCCAAATCCCTGCCTTCCATCTCTGCCCCATAATTTGCCTATGTGTGTGTGTGTCGCTGTGTGGACACTGATATTGTCTGATCATACTGTTTTACTTAGAGAGGAGTAGTTATGAGATGTTACCTAAAGACATCTAATTGATGGTAAAAAAGAAATAGTGCACAGGAATGTAGTTATTTCAGGGTGCAGTTGGGCGACAGCCCGAATGCAACAGGGCAAAGAGCTAAGCTTTATTTTCGTGCACCACTGACCTGGTGGTGTTTTCCAGAGAAAGGTGAGTATATGCTGAAGCTGACGACCATGATAGGTTTCTCACATCAGTATTTCCGGTGCACACAGTTGTCAAGGTCTTTTATACAGGAAAAGGGTGGGGGAGAACAAAACAGCGAGCTAAAGAAGCTGGCTACGGGGGAGTCAATGTGCTCTTGCTGAGGTGTGTTGGGCTGGAGGCAACTATGGGGTGTTGCATTCGGAGCTGGGTAGAGATGAGGGGCTGAAAGCTGGAAGAGGGAACAGGAGTTAGAAATGGTTTTGGAGGTTATTCTACAGAGTGAGAATTGAATTACAAAGAGTATAGTATGGGTAGGAAAGGATCATGAGAGAGAAGACTAGGAACCATGGACCAAATTTAGCACACTGGCAATACAGAAAGTCCCTTTATCTACAGGGAGCGTGTTCCAGGATCCAAGCAGAAACTGAACTCACAGATAGTATCAGGTTCTATATACATCATGCTTTCCCCTCTATTTACATACTTATGGTCATTTAGAAATTGGAAGTTAGGTAGAATAAGACTTTAACACTAACTATAATAAATACAAAAGTTTTAACCATGTATAATAGCAGTAACGTGAATGTGGCAGCCCTCTCCTATCCCTCTTAGAATAACCTGCTGTATTTTATTTATTCTTCTTCTCTGGGTAGGAATATGAGCTGATACAATGTGCAGGTGACTAGATAAAGTAACATAAATTAGGCATGGTGATACTAATCGTAGGATACTATGTGTAAGGAGATGTTACTAGAACAAAAGGACCCAGATATTTGCAAGGGCCAATTTAATGACTCAGAAAGTTGCTAGGTAATTAACAAGGGGGTAGCATGTATACAGTAGATACACTGGATGAAGGTTTTATTTATATTTTGCTTTTGAGACTTAAAAAATAGCAATTTCTTGTTCAGAGCAATGGTTAAGTGGATAATAATTCAGACAAATAAAAGGGACATTCAGGCCGGGCGGTGGTGGCACACGCCTTTAATCCCAGCACTGGGGAGGCAGAGGCAGGCGGATCTCTGTGAGTTCGAGGCTGGACTGGACCGATAGCCTCCAAAACAATACAGAGAAACCCTGTCTCGAAAAACAAAACAAAACAAACAAACAAAAAAAAGGGACATTCAGAATGGTGCAGGTCTGTGTGCACAGGAAGGCATTTGCCTTTAAAACAGAAATAGATAATGCAACCTCAGCACCAGCACTCGGCAAGAGGCCTTGCAGGAGTTGGTTGGTGCTTTGGTTGACAGTGTCTGGAATTCCACCAGTGCTCTGTTTGAAATCAAGGGAGAATCCATTCTTTATTCTGTTGAAAACAAGGATTTCAATTCAAATTCCAGAAGGCCTCCTTTTACTGGCTTAGATCTATCAGATGCAAATAGTCTTTATGTAAAAATAGAACTTAAGTTGTTAATCTATTCCTTCAGTGCCTGCGGTTTTGCAGGCATAGGACAGAGGTCTCTAGCCTGGGGGACAAGAAGAGCTCATTGGCATGAAATGTACACACTAATGGGAAATAAAACCAGAGGGAGGCCAAGTGAACCACAATGCATCAGACTAGTGTTGGCTCTGGCTGCCGCCAATGGGGGCGGGGAGGGTTTGCACAACAAAACATGTTTCCAATGGTTCTGGAGTATAAAGTGTGAATGGGATTGAACCCCAAGAATTCCCTGTGTTTGCAGATGGTCTCATCTTTCTGTATTCACCCAGAATTTCTTCTACCTCACACCAGAGAAGGCAAGCATCTGTGGGTCTATATCTCTTCCTTCTGAAAGGACAACAGTTGGGTTGGATGAGGGCACACCTGATATCCTCATTTAAACTTGATTATCTCTTTAAGGACCCTATATCCCAATATAGCCCCATTCTGAGGTTGTGTGGTTAGGACATCAATATATGAATTTTGAGAGGACAGAATGAAATAATCACAAATTATTAAAGAAATAAACTATATCCTAATCTTGAATAAGCAGATTAGGGAAGCCTGGTGATAAGATGATATCATCAAGCCCAGATGGTGAAGTAATAGGAGGAGGAGGGAGGAGAAAGAGGAGGAGGGGCAGGAGGAGGAGAAGGAGAAGGAGGAGGAGGAATAATGTCCTAGAGAGTCCTGGAGGTTGGATAGGACTTAAGAGACTGAGTCTGGTCATTCATACAAATATGAAAAATTTGAACTTAGAAATGATAGACTAAGCAAAAAACACAGTTCCTGGGCAACAGGCCTGGCTTCTTCCCATGCATCTGAGTGTTTTCTCTGTTCTTTGTACCGAATTCACTTTCTGGGATGTCAGTCTGTCTCACCTTCTTCACATCCCAGAGAAGCAATGTCACGGTTTGTTTTCTAGAATACTGGTGCCTATCATTTATTTCAGAATTCTTCACTTCTGGCTCCAGAGTGACCAAGTCACATATAGGCAGGCCTCTGGGGTCATGACTGTACCAAATGACTCCAGGGTGACCAGGTCACATAGAGGCAGGCCCCTGGGGTCATGACTGTGCCATGTCCCAACTTTGATATTAAGCAGTCCACAGATGTGGCTGGGCCAGTTACTCTTCATTTGCCAAATTTCACCTTGGAAAACCATGCTACATCCTAGCTAATTTTAGCACAGAGTATGCTCGTATCTATTTTAGTAACTTTTATGGCTTTTGACAAATCCAGTCTTCTGTGCTTTCCCCTCAAGTTGTGGAGCTGAATTGGATCCAGAACTGAAACAAAGTCTGGGTTTTGCTTCATGACAACTTTGCATTGCATTTTAGTTATGAAGGTGGCTTATGCTTTCAGTAGTTCATGATAGTTTGATCTAAGTTGGGTGTGGTGTGCACCATTCCTTTCTGGTCATTGCTGCCAGCACTGTGGCCCAGACATTCCCTTTGGTTATAGTCACTGGCCTTTCAGCTGCTCCCCCAATGCAGGAACATGTGGACGTATATCTAGTAGTAAGTATTACATACCAGGCATCCTGGGCCATATCAGTCTCCATGATGATGGCTTATTTGCTAGCCCCACCTCCTAGTTTCTAACTGCTATGTCTTGTCATAGATCCAGGGTTAGGCTAAAGTTGGTCCTTGCTGGAGCTGGAGTTCTGAACTCCTCGTCTGTTGTAGGGATAGATACCTTGTTTCTTCTATCCAGGATACCTTGTTTCTTCTACCCTGGATACCTTGTTTCTTCTACCCCGGATACCTTGTTTCTTCTATCCCGGATACATTGTTTCTTCTATCCCGGATACATTGTTTCTTCTATCCCAGATACCTTGTTTCTTCTATCCTGGATACCTTGTTTCTTCTATCCTGGATACCTTGTTTCTTCTATCCTGGATACCTTGTTTCTTCTATCCCGGATACCTTGTTTCTTCTATCCCGGATACCTTGTTTCTTCTATCCCAGATACCTTGTTTCCTCTATCCCGGATACCTTGTTTCTTCTATCCCAGATACCTTGTTTCCTCTATCCCGGATACCTTGTTTCTTCTATCCCGGATACCTTGTTTCTTCTATCCAAGATACCTTATTTCTTCTACCCCAGATACCTTGTTTCTTCTATCCAAGATACCTTATTTCTTCTACCCCAGATACCTTGTTTCTTCTATCCAGGATACCTTGTTTCTTCTATCCCGGATACATTGTTTCTTCTACACTGGATACCTTGTTTCTTCTACACTGGATACCTTGTTTCTTCTATCCCTCACACCATGAACTTGCTTCCAGACCTTGTCAGGCCCCGGCTCTACAGGCCTTTCCCCTCAGTAGAGTCCCGAGGCCTCCATAGGCTTGTTTCTTCTCTGTTTCAACCCAGACATGCACTCAGACTGTCTCTTCTCTCTGAACTGCCTTCACTGGTCCCACCAGGACCACCCAGCTGCTTGGTGCTACCTCTTTGGCCTCTAATAGCTGGACCAGGGGAGAGAAACAAAGAGCTAAATCAACCTGTGTTGTTTCAACCATCACAGCTGTGCTTCTCAGTCTGAGTGCTGCTTCTGAGAATCTGTCTGTCCTTCAATAGTTACATTTTGCTCTTCCAAGATGGCTGTTGCAAAAGGTAGCCATTTTTATCAGCTTCTCTTCCCGGCCTGTGTTCTTCTCCCTTCTATCAGGTGCTCTTGCTTCCTGCTCTCCTGTGGGTAAAGGTGATTAGACAACATTCCTTATCTTCCTTAGGGGACTTCCATCTCCCCTTCTCCCTGCTTTGGGGAAGGCTGGGGCACCCCTTCTGTTGAAGACTGGCTTCCTTCACAGAGTGTCTTTAAACCACAATGAGACCCCTGGGCAAATATGGGGTTGGATTCCTCTTTGGAGCCTTCCCTTCATCACCCTTCCCAATGCCTGGC